AGGGCTGCATTACAACATTGATTGTTCGGATCACTAGTATCTAAGTCTTCCGCTGTGCTATTTTATACCTTGTATTGAAAGGTCGGTTCTTGTTCTGGTCTGCACCTATACGGTATGCAACAGAAGTTGTTTATTTAAATAAAAAAAAAAAGAAAAAAAAAAAAGAAAAAAAAAAAAAGAAAAAGAAAGGCAAGCTATGATGGGAAGTTAAACAACTCCGGTCAAGGATATTGCAATTGTGCTGAAAATGGACAAAAACAGTAAAAATTAGTTTGGCGACATTCCTGTGGTGAACGGAATGAAAATGTACGATGTGTCCTTGGGGACATCCGTGAAAATGGGAACCATACAGAGAAGATCGATTAGAGTTGGACCCCACAGGACGGCGGAAAGGAAAAACTTTGCCGCAGAACTGTTTCCAGGACCCCACAGCCTGCAGCAGATGTCCATGGAAAGGTGAAATTTCTCCCGCAAACCGTTTTCGGGACCCCACAGACCGAAGACTGCGGCTTGGAAAAACACAGTTTTCTGTTTTGACATAGTCCGCTTCTGTTTTCACATAGTCCGCAGCCTGGAAAGGTCTCATGGGAGGATTCCTCGCCGCAATTGTGTGCCAACACAAATGGTTAACAGGTACCCCCACTTTTCACCCCTAGGGTAACCTTCACCACCCTGAAAAGTGGAGTGGGGATCATGTTTTTTTTTTTTTTTTTTTTTTGCCCTGTTCTGTTTTTGGTCGAGGTTTGTACGTGCCAAGTTTGGTGTTTGTTGGGTTCCTGGAGATGGTTGTTTTGGGGAGTGGTGAAAATTGTGAAAACCGACAAATTGAAATGTAAGTGAAATTTCATGAAAGTGCATTTTTGGCTTGCTGTTTTATATGTTTTTAATTATTTTTTTCGTTTTTTTTTAACAATAAGTTAGTAAGAAGGGCACTCTATAGATTGGTGTGAAATATGGTTAAAATGACCCTTTGGTTTTCTTATAAATGGGGGTGAAAATTTGGGGGTCGGTTAACCTTCTGTCATAGCGACCAAGAGTGCCACACAAAAAAAAAAGGAAAACAAAGAAAACAAGAACAAAACAAACGAGTGCCGACGGAGAAAGGCAACGATTGGCTCAACTGAGTTCCAAAGGGTTTCCACGGTGCATTTGGTCTCCGAGGTGGGGTCCCCGCAAAACTGCTTTCCAGCTTTCCAAAATTCTTTGCCCGTTTTTTTGGGCCGGACGGTTTTTCCATCCTTTTTCCTGTGGGGTCCAACTCTTAGCATGGGACCTGCACAAGGATGACACGGAAAAAGATAATAAAATAAAATAAAATAATGTACGACGTGAAATTGAAGGGCATGCTGGGGGTTCCTCCTACATGGGCATGCTACGTTAGGCGTTGGCTCTAGCGGATATGTGAGATGGGTGCATTGCACAGGGTCAGGATTGTGATAATGAAGCCAAGTGCGATGAAGGGGATACGTGATAATAGTGCCAGCAATGAAGGACGTAGAGGGCAAAGCGGCTTCATAAGAGGGAGGGCGGGGCGGGAGGGATAAGATGGGAGGGAAGGAAATAGGGGGAGAGTGGATGGGCAGGGAGGGGAGAATAGTATCAATCAATGCTGTAGAAAAAGTGCTAGAAACTGGATGGGCATGGAAGGGAGGCTAGGATCAATAGAGGGCATTGCGGCTTCATAAGAGGGAGGGGAGGATGGGCAGGGAGGGGGGGAGAATAGGATCAATCAATGCTGTAGAAAAAGGGCTGGAAATGGGAACGGGGTGGATATCAGAAATGGATGGGGCCACAGCATTGATTGTGGCAACCTCGGTAGCGGGAGGGCTAGGAGGGCTACTGTCATCACTCGAATAGAACGCCGGGTCATTAACGCCACATCTGGACTGAAAGTTGGCCCAAATGCAGCCATAACGACCAGGCGTTCTATTGGGGTGAAAGGGCATTTCGGTTCAAAAGGAGCAGGCCGTCGAAGGTCAGATACCTCTGAGGGACTGGGTTCGCAGCCGACCAGAGAGACCCAAGCTGTCGAGGGCCTTGCTGCCCCCAAATGCACGGCAGTGACCCTTGCTCGCTGCCCTACCGGTAACCCTCGCTCGCTGCCCTACCGGTAGGCGTCTCAAGCCCGGGTAGAGGAGTCGTCTTCTGTTCTGGTACATTTGGGGCATGATTGCCAGAGAAACCCAAGCAGTCGAGGGTGAGGGGCAGTAATCCTCGCTGCCCTGGCCCTCTCAAGCCCGGGCAGAGCAGCTTGCTTGCCGGTGGATGAGCAACCGGATCGTTGCCCCCCATAATTGATGGGGCAAGCGGGAGTGTTGCAGTACCCCCCCCCCAAAAAAAAGAGGAAAAAAAAGTAGGAAGTGGTATTTCTTCTGTGACTGAAATCGAACCCCTTTCAAATTTTTATTTTTTAATGAAATCGAACCGCCGGTGGCTGAAATGATATGTGAGGCCTGGACCCCATAGGAATGCGGAAAGGAAAAACTTTGCCGCGGAAGTGTTTGCAGGACCCCACGCCTCGCGGAAAAGTTTATGGAAAGGCCGAAATGTCTTCCAAAAACCGTATTCTGGGACCCCACAGCCCGCATTTCGTAGCCTGGAAGATCGCCTGTGGACGTTTTCACATGGTCCGCGGTCTGGAAAATGGCGAGCGGAGGAAATGACGCCGCAAATTTGTGCCGAAAGCTGAGGTTGGCCCCCAGAGCCGTCTTGAACTTTTCCAAAACCAGGTCCCGAGGATGGGAGGCAGCAGCCAATAGCGATGAAGAGTGCCACAAAAAAAAAAAAAAAAAAAAAAAAACGAGTGCCAACGGAAACAGGCAACGATTGGCTCAACTGATTTCCAGAGGGTTTTCCAACTTGGAGAGGGAAAAAGTACTTTCCGACTTTCCCAAATGACTTGCCCGCTTTTCGTGGCCACACGTCTTTTCCATCCGCACCGCAGTGGGGTCCGACCCTAAGTTAAGTGAAGCCGTTGCTGTGCATGAAATGGAAAACGCTAAAATACTAACTCATATACCTTTCATACATAACTGTGGTTAATAATGTCACAAATAATTGTGGTTAATAACTTAATAATGTCGTAAATAATTGTGGTTAATAATGTCATAAATAATTGTAGTTAATAATGTAATGAGTTGGAGGTACTAAGTTTAACTCTTTTCTTCTTGGGTGAATGAAATTGAACCCCGTCGCTGGTTAAAAAAAAAAAAAAAAAAAAAAAAAAAAAAAAAAACACGCAGACTATGGTAGTTGCATGTTTGATGTCCAGCTATGGAAGGTTGACTGCTTGTGTATGTGTTCTCTATCCTCTTGTTGGCTGGCTTGTCTATTTTCAGAGGTTTCTGAGGTCCGGTGCTGCAGTGAGAGAGAGAGAGAGAGAGGATTTGGAGCTTCAGAGAGTCAGAGGCAAAGGAACCGATCTTGGATGCTGCTCCTGATCATCTACATGCTTGTTCTTTCACCTTCGGTGGTGCTGGGAGTGCTGGGGATGCTGCAGCCACTCTGTGGCTGTATTATCTATTCTGTCTATAGTTTAGTTCTCGTGTTGCATCTTTTTCAGCTTAGTTATATGAAATACTGATGGCTGGTGGAAAGTAGAGTGGTGCATTTACCACCCATGAATGTTGACGGCGACGACGGCGATGACGATGACGATCGTCTCCCAAGGTACGATGCTTGGCTACCAACAGAAACATTCGTGTCTTTCGTTGAGCATCGATCTGTCCCCCTTTGAAAGCGATATCCAACTTTTTTTGGACCTCATTTTTGAAATTTTCCAGTCCTCCTATTTGGCCGTTCGTTTCATTTATTTTGCACGCTTGCGAGTGCCAAAGGGCAAAGTGAAAATAGAAGAAGTGGTGCGCGCAAATTATTTTTCATCCTTGCGAGTGCGAAAGGATCGAATGTGGTCCTTGCAAATTATTTTTATCCTGGTTTATGCAGGGAGACTGTGAGGAAGAAAATCACAGAAAAATCACAATGTGCTCTGATGAACTGCCATTGACCTGGAGATAAGAAATATGCAGAATCAGCAAAGAGGCAAGCACATGTGCAGTGTGCACGGAATACTTTGTGGATTGACGTCGGTTGATCAAGAACACATGGTGCCTCACCTCTCCATCAAGCGAAAGATCATGATAATTTAATTATAATGGGTGCTGGGACGGGTCCAGCGCCTCGCCTGCTGTTCTCTTCGTTGACTGATTGACGGGTCGCTGGACGCGAAAAAGAGAACCAAAAAGAAAAAAGAAGATGCATGGATGTGAGGGAGCCATCCTTGGGGGTGGTGGAGTCAGGTCCTTTCGTTGATGACCCTGCATCAGAGGTAGTTCCCTGCATCCGAGGTAGGCACGATGTGCCCTTCATCAAAAGAGACTTCAATATATATTGCCAGTGTTCGGTGCAGATGTGGTTGTCAATGTGACCAAATGCTGTACCAACTAGCCTACAGATACTCTGCCTGATCGGAGTCAGATGCCGCAAATGCTGCTCCTGCTGGTGTCCAATGGAAGGATGATCAATGCTGGAGGTCATGTAATGACGACTACCCAAGGACCAACGCCACCTCTCTCTCTCTCTCTCTCTCTCTCTCTCTCTCTCTCTCTCTCTCTCTCTCTCTCTCTCTCTCTCTCTCTCTTTGATGCTGACGCCAGCTATGGTTGGTGCAGCTCTCCTTCTTCAGGCGCTGGCAGGCTGGCATACTCCCTGCTGCTAGCACTTTTCCATGCACTTGTGCAACTTCACAGCTTTTGAAGTGAAACAAAAACAGGTGAAACAAACAAACAAAAAAAAAAATCGGAAGAAAAAAATTAGTTGGCCAACAAATCATGCTTATTTTACACGGTTCAGGCCGTTAACCAGTGGTTCTGCCCAGCGAAATGATGCTTCTTGGCAGGTGACAAGCCTGGAAGAAACAGTGTGGTTGGGATCCGGTCTGAGCCCGCGATGGCTGGTGCAGCTCTCCTTCTGCAGGCGTTTGCAGACGTGCACTGTTCCATGCACTTGTGCAACCTCCCAGCCTGCCCAGGGGAATGATGCCGAGGCAGGTGACCGATTTCCCAGGAATAGTGTGGTTGGGATCTCACCTGAGCCAATCGGACCGATAGTGCGGTTGGGATCTGGCATAAGCCAATCAGACTGATCTGCGGTTGGGATCTGGCTTGAGCCAATCAGGCCTGTCTCTGAATGTTTCCGGAGAGCACAGGGCCAATCATTACCCCACTGCTTCAGGGAAACTTCTCCTCCTACCGGCCTGTCCAGACCTGACCTATTCGAAAACGCCTAGGCCTAGCTACTGACCCTCAACCGCTGTCCGCTGCTAGCAGTCCTCACAACCCATCCCTTCCCCCCCCGGCCGGCTTGTGGGTAGTTGGAAATCCTCTGGGAATCCCTTCGTTTTTAATCCCTCTTTGCACTGTCTTGGTCTCTGAAATGTCTTTCACAAACCCATACTGCATTTCTGTGGAGATGTCATTAATTCCTCCCTCTCTTAAACCTTTAATACCTCCGTCAGTGTTGGGAAAATAGGGAAAACTGACAGTTTTCCCGAACTCCTAAAACATCGGAGGCCGGGCCCGACGACGGCTGGCATTGACAAATCTGATCGACAGCCATTGTTTCGTCTCGGCCGCCTAAAAGGTCGGAGGCCCACCTGAGGCCCGCTATTTTCCCACTCGGCAAAGGTACTAGTGGTTAAAAAAAAGTACTAAAAAAAATTATCCCTCATGGACACCCATCCCATTCTTGACTGGTGTCTGCGTGATATCTGAACCGTTCTTTTTACTTACTTCCGGACCGCTGTAATGAACCCAGTCTGGAGGAAACTTGTCAAGTGTCCCGGATTGCCCTGCGATCTTAAGATTTTAAGATCTCGCGGCGATCCAGGCTGTTCGCGGTCCTACCGGTCCGACGGCCCGGATTGCCCCGTGATCTTAAAACTCTAAGATTACGGGGCAATCGGGGCCGTCGGGCCGGTAGGACTGCGGACGGCCTGGATCGCCGCGCAATGTTTGGAATACCGGTAGGGCCCTTTGTTTTTCTTTTGTAGAGGGCCAGGGTGTTTTTGGTCGTTGCAGGGCGGCACTTTCGCTGCACTGAATTCCAATGGGCCCTCCCGCCTGCCCACCTCGACTCGGCCAACGGCTCCCACCTTCCCCTCCGCCCACCTCCCTTCCGCTCCAGCTATCTCCCCTCCGCCTCCGCCCACCTCTTCTTCGCCCGGCGCCCACCTCGCCTCCACCGCCGCCCACCTCCCCTCCACCTCCTCCTGCCATCTCCTCTCTGCCTTCGGCCACCTCCCCTCTGCCACCGCCCACCATCTCCTTCCTGCCTCCACGCACCTCTTCTCCGCTCAGGGGCCACCTCGCCTCCGCCCCCTCCACCTCCTCCTGCCATCTCCTCTCCGCGTTCGGCCACCTCCTGTTGCATACTGGTGAATACTTCACCAAGTATGGGCAGAACCAGAGATCAACCAATATAGGATGAGCATGTATACAGCGGAAGTCTGAGAAATGGACTGACTCACATAGACTGAACTCACCCAGACATCACTCAACACGCAAGCAGTCGTGAGATGGTGGGGTCTGAAACCAATCATAGACGATGCTTCAGGCCCCGTACAACCATACACAGATGAACGATGGGAGGAGAGACGATGGAAGTGGGGGATATGGACAGCGCCAGATGTCACCGAGATAGAATCCAGAAGGTCACCGATATGGTAGCCCAAAATGTCTCACCGAACAAAATCAGAATGTTGTGGCATAAGTCACCAATGTCGGAGGTACAGAATCCTACTATAACCGATGTCCGATCTGTGATGCCGCCAGGTCTCAATCCCCACTATCTCCAATGTCTCGAATCCGGTAAGTATCACGTCCTCCAACCACCGAAGTCCAATCACTGATCTCTGTTCAACTCGTATCAATAGTCTCCAGTCTGAAGAGGGAGAAGAAGACGAAGTCTGAAGAAGAAGAAGAAGAAGAGGTCTGTAGAAGAAGAAGAACAAGAAGGAAGAAGTCTGAGAGGGGAGGCAGAGAGTCGGGGGAGATGGCGAGTGGCGTCAGGCCTAACCTGCGTCTGCAAGATGGCGCCTTGGCTGATGCGGGAGCTGGGCTGAGCCACTGAGAGCTATGGCGCTCACGGTACTCCAGGTAAGTCTCCCTCCTCGCCTCCCTTGGCTGCAGTGCGCTAAACTTAGCGCTGCAGCTCCAACCGCTGTGCTGAACCAGGAATAGCACAGCTCGGTGCCTCCTGCCGTACTCCCCTCCAACCTGCTGGAATGGCCGCTGGACCGGCCTAAGTACCGGCCGGTGGCCGGTCGGCCTCACTGCTGCCCAGCGTGCCGTGATCTGAATCGTCAAGATTGACGATTCAGATCAGACCAGCGAGCGGCAGCCTCAAGAGCGCCGCCAGGCCCAACGGCAATGTCGTTTGGGCCTATACCTGGTCAGCTGCAGGAAAACCAACCGGTGGCCTCAATGCGGCCTACCGGGAGAAAGGTCCGGCCTTTGGCTGGGCCGGCCTAAGTACCCCTTGGTCTAGTGGTTAGGTCCCAAAGGGACCCGTGTGGCATCAGTATGTAACACCTCCCCTCCGCCACCGTCCACCATCTCCTCCCTGCCTCCACGCACCTCTTCTCCGCTCGGGGGCCACCTCACCTCCGCCCGCCGGTCCCCTCCCCTCCGCCTCCCCCCACACCTTGGGATTCCTCTGCTACTTCTTCCTCAGCGTTCCCCCGCCAGTTCTCCCCCGCCTCCACTGACCTTTGCTCCCGCCTCCACTTACGCTCACCTCCACCTCTGCCCACCTCACCTCCGCCTCTGCCCACCTCATCTCCACCTCCGCTCACCTCTGCCCTCCTCACCTACGGCCTGCCCACCGTAGGGCTCTCTCTCTCTCTCTCTCTTGATACGTCGTTCTGGGTACTTCGTGCCCTACGGGCTTGCCTACGCGACCTACTGACTTGCCTACGCCCAATTAGGCGACCTATGAGACCTAGGCGACCTACCTACAGCCTACGCGACCCATGCGACCTGCCTACGGCCTGCCTACCATAACGCTGTCTCTCTCTCTCTCTGGATCTCTCTCTCCCTCTCCCTTTCTTTCTCTCAGTGCTTGGTACTTTGTGCTTGGCTGTGTTTGGTTCGTGCAACGGTGCCACTTTCGTGCTACTTGGTGCTACTGGGCGCATTCGTGCTACTTCGTGCTACTCCGTGCTTGGTTCATGCTTAGTGTGGTTTGAGTGCTACGTGCATCGGCGGTTGGTTTGTGGGATCTGTGCTTCGTGCTAAGTGCAATGGTGCTACGTGCATCGTTGAATCGGTGCTTGGTTCAGTCTGGCATAGTCGAGCCTTTTTTTATGGAGTTGTGTAAAGTGAACATGACGTCACACACACGCACGCAGATGCATCTTCGGCAGATTGTCGGGGTTCAACCTCTGATGAAACAGTCTGGACAGCCATGCTTCCTTTTTAGCGTGCACGAAGGCACGAGCGAGCGAGCGAGAGAGAGAGAGCGAGAGCGAGAGAGAGAGAGAGAGAGAGAGAGAGAGAGAGAGAGAGAGAGAGAGAGAGAGAGAGAGAGAGAGAGAGAGAG